TATAGGATCCGAACCCCTGACCTCGGCGCTACCAGTGCTGCACTCTCCTGAGTGAGCCATGGGGCCGGCCCTTCTTTTGAATCTTGATTTAACTGTGGCTTGATAGTTAAAAATTGTGATTCTCTTATGAAACTAGTCAATTAAACTAAAGCTCTGCACAAACTCACACTGTAGGAAGCACAATCCTACCAGCACTAGAATGATTCTCCATTGCAGATTCCCACTCAACTTTCAGAGGCAGAGTAACAGCAACCCCAAACAATTTCTGGATGGATTACTGGATTTCTAACCAATTAACTCACAAGGCTTCCCTTGTGAGGAACTGGAGACCCCCCCTGGCTCACTAATGCTGGATTTTCTCCTGGAACGTGTCCATACTATGGAGCCCAAGCTGTGGCACAGGTTGTATTGTCTCTTTACCACTTAAAAAGATTTTCTTTTGTACATACGCTTAGGTATTTTATTTCTAATATATTTAATATTCTAATATATAATTCTAGTAAAATACTCTTCTTAAAAACAAAACTAACAAAAAAAAAAGTAAAGACTCATTTCAGCCAACCAGATCACATGTTGCCTATCATGATACTGCACCCACAGTGAACATCACACAGTTGACAACTGACAGACACTAAACATTTTAGGGGGCTTTTCTTACTGGCAAGGAGTCCCCATCCCACAATGTTCTTGTTAGCACTACTTTCCTCACTGCCCTGCCAGGGTTTCTATCAGCAAGAATTTCTCGGCAGTTAATGTACAATTTTTACATGCCAAAAAAAAAAAACTGAAGGAAACACAGGCAACAACCAGCAACCTGAGAATTTTGAGGTTGTTGTTTACCACGGAGCCAGTAGACTGATTAATTTCCATCGTCCAATGTAAGAGGAAGGAAGCCAAATTAAGTCCATTCGAGCCACAAACTAATTATCCTGTGTTTTGGTCACTGTAAAGCTACATGACTAGGCCAGTTGTCAGGCTAAGGCAATAGCTACGCTGATTGTATGGCTAGGCATTTCATAACTAAAGCCAAAATGTTTCATTATTTTAGTCATACTAAATTTCCATTTGTATTGTCAGGGATAGGGCTCAGACCCTTCAAACCCATTGTATGGACTGGGTCACCAGACCCCTCACATGCAGGTCCATGCTCTAGGTAAATGGGAGAGATCCCAGAAGTCATTCACAGATGACACGAGCTCAGTCCTCAGCAGGAGCAACAGTAGCAGTGGTCTCTTGGGACATCGCGGGAGCACTGGCCACAACAGCTTGCAGAAACAGCCTCCAACAGTGGTAGCGGCTCCCCGTTGCCCCCCCAGCCACATCCTGGGGGGCAGGCAGGCCCTGTGGATCAGAGCGACTTGTCCTTTATACTTAAGTCCATAACCCAGGACACCTGGGTGCACATGCACAATTACATTAGACAACCAAGGAACACCTCACGTGCATATTTACATCAAATGCTTGCAAAATTCTGAACACCTGAGAGGCACTGACCATTTTCCTTCACTTTCCCTATAGTCACAAACACCATTACTATATTTATCTTAAGTTTTAAGTGTTGACAATAAAACTCCCAGTTTTTATACATTTCCATAAAACCTTCACTTCACAAAAACAAGGTAGTACTTTCTGGTTTGCAAAGACTTTTACTATTAATTCCTTAGTGGTTTAGTAAACACTATTATAAAAAATGAGAGAATAAGTTATCCCCAAATAACTAAGCGGTATGTTTCAAAGGTTTTATAAATAACACTTGTACATAATTTTACATTTTTAGCTGCTTTTTTACACACATGACCTCTTTTGATCTGCACGGCAACACCATGAGGTAAGCAGTAGGGAAGTATTATCTGCATTTTATAGTTAAAGAAGCCCAGCTCACACAGTTTAAGTGTCCAAGGTCACACAATTGGAAAATGAAATAACCGAATTTAAAACCCAAGTTTTCTGGCTTCTGGTCAAGATGGCAGAATAGACAGTCCCAGTGTCACTCTCTCCCACAAATCAACCAATTTACTATTAAAAAGCAACAACAGCCAAGCTGGGTCCACTAGAGCTCAGGGGAAGAGGAGGAGAGATCTACAGACTGCATGAAGGCAGGAGAAGCCACAATGAGAGAAAGAAAGAACCGCTCTGACCATTTCGAGCCCTGGCCACTTCAAGGCTGGATCTGCTGAGCACATGGAGCAGGAGCTGGCAAAAGCCGCCACTGTGACTTTCAGATGAAGTTGCTTGGAGGCAGGGAAGAAGAGGGCCTTTGTGGACCCCAGGCCAGCAAGACCACTAACAGGGTTCCCATGGACCCACATAGGAGGAGACACAACAGAAAAAAGGAGCCACTCAGAGGCCTGTGGCCCACCCCATGGGAAGTGTTTGGAGTGCAGGAAGTGTTTGGAGTGCAGGGGAGACAAGGCCCACCAGGGGACACTGTGGCACAGCAAGGACAGCTGATCTGCCCCCCAATCAGCACAGGACCACTCAGTGGAGACTGGTCAGGAATATAGAACTGCAGTTTGCTGAAAAGACTCAGGCCTGGAGCAGAGTTTCCACACAACCCAGGTGTATCAGATCCCAGAAGTACCCACAAAGTCAATTAAAACCTGAGCTGCACAAAAAGCCTTCCCCAGGGAATCAGCAGCAAAGCAGCAATTTAGCTCAACCACAGAGCTCTAGCACTGGTCCCCACGGGAAGTTCCCCCATTTTAGAAGTAAGCAAGGACAACACGTTAGTTCCAGTGCAGAGTTTAAGTTGTAGGAACAGCAAATAATCCAGCACAGAACTGAAAGAAAAAACAAAGTACCCACAAACCAGAGACAAAGTCTGATATTAACTAGTAAAGTTCTCACATCACCAAAGAACACCTATGGAACATAAAAGGACCGGAAGTCTCCTGGGCTATCAAGCCTGGGAAGGTGGAGGTCAAGCGCTTCAGCCATCTTCCCCCACCCCCAACATCTGCACCCAGCCCAGCAATGACCAAGCCACCACTGGAAGCCCACTGGTCTCCCCTGCAGGAATGAGGGGGGTGCCACAGGCCTCAATGTGGAGTATACCAATATTTACAAAGCAAATATATTTCACAGGGCCTAGTTTCTTGTAATTTCAGGTTTAGCTTAACTTCTTAAAAGTACATATAAAATGCTGACCTTACAGGGGACAGAAAACTTTCCCCAGGCTAGTCTCTGTTGTAAGATAAAGAATTGTAGCACAGCAAGGTTGCTGGCTCAAAGCACAGATAGTTTACTGATTGATATGTAACAATACTGAGAAATTGCTGTAAGAAGAGAATGCTTGCTAAGATCAAGCTTTTGTTGGTGAATCAACTTAACTTCCTGAAAATTGTATTATGGAAGGTCACCTTGCTTGTTTTACTGAATGTTACCAGCTACTATTGTTAAACTTGTTAAACTATACTTAGCAAAAACCCCACCTATGTTCTCTTCCTGTAACTTCCTGGTCTGGAGAATAAATGCGGGAAGAGAATCTCAATTCATGGTTAATTTCCCAAATGGAAGGAATGTGTCTCTCTTAAGGGTTCCTGGGCTTCTCACTGCTCAGAAGAGATGAGCTTTGAGTAATCTTTGGCAGCTCCATCACCCACCGGAAAAGAGGTGACAAATCCGTGGGAGGCAAAGCAACATCTCAACCCCACCCCTCCTCCTTCTCCCACCCTATTTCATTCCCCCTTCCCCTCTCCCTTTCCCCCCCAACTGCTCTGCAACAACATCACAGAATGTAAAAAAAAAAAAATTAATAAACATAAAAAAATAAACAATTTTCAGAAATAAAATAAATAAATGAAACCCAGGTTTTGTGTTTCTCCCATTATACTTCACTGCCTGTGTGTAAGTTGGAGCTTAGAATTTGAAATCCATCTTCCTGCAAAGTATTATTATACATGCTGATTTGGAGTCTAGACTAAACCATGAAGACCTTTAACTCACAAAGTCTGAACTATCAAAAAGTGGTTTAATACTTTACACTCAAAAATAGATTTTTGTGGCCTGACCTGAGCCCCTAATATACATGGCTAACATCATTTCTTTGGTAAGAAATATACCACATCCTGCAGAGAAAAGATCCTATTCACATGAAAGACTAGCCACGCTTCCCAATGCCCATCCTCTGAAGCAGCAGCTGTCCCTTTCAGAACAGGAATGGAATGTAGGCCACAAACACAGCCCCTTCCCTCTCTCTGATCACAGTGGCCAGTGGTCTCCTCACTAGTAGAGATATAAGAATACAGTGGCTACAGAAATACCAATTGCTCTCAGGGATTCTAGAGGTATATTGCTTTCTATCCCTGGCAGAAGCTGTTTGTTCATGTATGTTAGATACGTGTAAGCTAAGTCAGAAGTACCTGCAGCTGGAATGGTAAACAGGTTAATCTCTTGTTCCATTCTAACATATGAACACTCTAACAGGAATGATTCAGAGACTGGAACAGGGCTCAGAGGGAAGTGTGGGCAGGTGATGCCCACTAAAGATTGTGGACAGAGCTCTGAAGGACCAAAATGATCCAATAAATGCTTAATAAATACTTAATTAAAAGTTTAACTGTTCTCAACACTAGCTTGTTACACTCCATGAGGGCAGGAATAGCGCCCACTTTACTCACTGATAAACTTCCCAACGCCTAGCAAAGTGCTTGGTGCATATCAAACAGCCAGTAAACATTTGTTAGAAAAATGAGTACTGCTGAAATAAATAACTGAAGGAGGGTATCAACCACGGAATGATCTGGCCCATTATTTTCAGAAGTAGCTTATAAACTATAGAATGACCTGGCCCAAAATTTTGTGAGAATTGTCTTAATATTACCTGTGACAGTTTTGACAATACAATACCAATACATACAGACAATTATTATTTAACAACCAAAACTCAAAAACATGGGAAGCATTTAAAGTAAAACAACTTATTAATTAAAAATATATACATAAAACTATATTTACTATTCATTGCTTCTAGATACATGTTTATTTAATAAAATACTTACTTCCACAATCATCTTTAATATCTATAGCAGCAAATGGCATGTCTACCAGCGAATCCACAGTATTGGCTTCCATTTCCTCTGACATTTTTTCTCTTGACACATTTTCACATTCATTGGAATTTATTCCTCCTTTAACATATTACAAAAAGAAAAATGTATTATTTGTTATTTTTTAAACTCATATCCTAAACTAAAACAACTCAGCTAACTGAATTCAACATAAATTAACAACTGTTAAAAAAAAAATACTACCTGCTTTCAACTATATTGTATAACTACTTATGTTATTTATACCCTATTCCATATTTTTATAAATGCATTGTTATGTTAAACAACAAGCTTCTAAAACTTTAATCATTTTCTAAAGCACAGTATTCAACTCAGAATTAGATGAAGACTGAGTCAATCAGCGACCTTCAAGATCTTTTATAGCTACATTTTCTTAACTCTAAAACTACATTTTTTTCACATACCTTTTAAAAACAAACCAACAAGGTTTTGTCAGTCTTTTTCATGTTTATTTTTTTTGTTTTTCAGCTTAGTTTTTCTTTTTTTATTAGCATATTCATCATTACAAATCATACTTATTCTTCATGCCCCTTACCCAATCTCTCCCCTTCCCTGTCCCTCTCCCTTTTCCCCCTTCCCCCTTCCCCTCCCTGCTCTAATAACCATAGATTTGTTCTCTCCATTGATAAATTAACTGTTCCTCTGCTGGTCTGTTGCCTAGATGATCTGTCCAGTACTGAGACAGGTGCAATCAAGTCCTTCTCGTGTTTATTTTTATCAATATCACTTATGTGTTCTCACTTGTACAAGTTCTGACCTTTTTTTCTTCAATAAAGACTTTTAAATTGTTTCTCTCCATTATTACAGTTAACACTAAAAATTCAGTTAAAAATACATGGCCCTAAATATGCTTTTCTGGAAATTCAGTTATTAAGAAGCAAATGATCTTACAGTTTCCCTTACAGCTCTCCCTTGGTCATGTACTAACATTAAAGTCACATTCCACGTTTGGTCTTTGTTTGGTTTTCTTGTTATGGGTGGAAAAGACATACATCTTGGGTGGAGGTTAAGGGAAAGAGGGTATGTGTTTAAATCGATAAACTTAATTGCTAAATTTATAAGTTGGTCTCCCCAATTCATTAATTCTTCATGCTTTCATGACAGACACAAATATTGTCTGAATTAAGATTGAACAGAATCTTAGAAATTTATATAATTTTTACTCTTTATTTATTAAAGACTAATTTACCACTCAAGATATTAATGAAGTTGTTCATTTCTTTCTGTTGTAAGCCTCTATATTTAAATATAATACCTGCAAAACACATTCCATTAAGAATGTGGCTTACAACATACAACCTGATAACTTAACAGCTAACATATATACTAGGTATATGTGTTATACGTATATGTAATATGTGTATGTTATATGTATCAGGTAATAGTTAACATATATACCAAAAAAATCTAAATTTTTGTTGCAATTTGAGTCATCGCTACTGTTGTTCACACACACACACACCTGTTTTCTGAATAAAAGCAAATAACAACAAAACTTTTGTTTTAATTAGTCAAGTTCAATGCAAAAAAACAGTGATAATATATTCTTAATGCTACTATTTATATTACAGTTCAAACTTTAGGAAGTCTGAGTAAAATGTTAGTTTACTATGAGTCTACTCACAAACTCACAAATATTTGAAAAATGTGAGAACAAGTTAAATGTGTCCTTTCTATTTTTATGCTTGTGTTTTAAAAACACAAATGCAGTTTAGACTTAAACAAAAGTTTTAATAGATCAATACACATCTTGTACCTTTGGACACACGCATTTACACTTGAAGACTCATCAGTGACCATGTAGCTTACGCTTGAAAAGCTAGCAACAAAAGAGTAGTTGCACAGTTAAATATAAACAAGGCTGAATGAAAATCAGAACAAAATGAAATAAACCTAACTGTTGTTTTTCTCTATTTTGTTCTCAGTGGAAGAATTTAGTGATATGAAATTGGTCCATTTAACACCAGCATCTCAGTATTAGCTCCCAAGTCCATATGCCACTTGGAAATATATAGATTCTTGACAATATGTGGGTTAGGGGAAACTGACTTCTGGGCTGTAATAACATATTTTGAAAGCAAGGGGAAGAATTAAATAGAACGATGAATTAAATTGTCATTTTTTTCAATGAAAAAAGTTCTTGAAATAGTTTGACTTTCAGTTTACCTTGAGCTCAATTACATAACAACTGTTAGAGAGCAAGTGCTATGTGGGTCACTGGCTATACCATAGGGAGAATCACACAGTGACAAAGGTGATAATAGCAGCTGCCTATTAGAATGACCTGAAAAGATTTTTAAAATTACTGCCTGTGTCCCACCCCAGGCCAATTAAATTAGACTCTCTGGAGATGAGGCCAGCCTCTGGTATTTTTTAAAAGCCCTGCAAGGTAATTCCAATGTGCAGGGCAAGTTTGAAAACCATTGCTCCCAAGATCCCCTTTCACTTCTTCCATACCTTGATTCTACACCAGACATCGTGATGGTGTTGAGAATAATCAATTTCAAAGTAAAAACTCAGATCAGACTTCTACCATCAGGGAAACCTTTCCTGATCCCCAGCTCAGGACTGAGTTAGGTAATCCAGTCTCCTCCCGGGTCCATACAGCTTCTTTCAATCACAGCATGAATGAATTATGTTATAGATGTCCACATGTCTGTCCTCCTTAGATTCCAAGACAAAGTGATCATATGATTTACCACCCAAACCAGGGCACTTTTGAAAGTGAGAGGGGGAACTTTCCATAATTACACCCCATGAGTAAGTATAATCGGCCTGCTCTAAGTTCCTTATCCTAAGTTCTTATTCTCCTTTGATTCCTCCATGTCTAGCACTGAGTTCAGCTCACAGTAGGTACTCAATAAATCTTTACTGACTGACTAGATAAAGGTAAGTACACATTTGGGATCACTCAGGCTACACTGCACTATAACTATCTCAATGCCCATGAAAAACAATTCCCAGTACTTAATGGCAGCCTCAGCACATCACAGATTCTTTAATTTTCACAGGATGAATGAAAGGTACTACTTTCATTTGACATAAAAATCAAAGCATAATATGACTTGCTCAACATTATTCTCCATCTTATTAAATAAAGTATATTAAACTCCAATGCAATGCTATGTCAAAATTGACAGGAGTCTAGAACTTGAAATACAAGTTATCTTCTACTAAGTAATAGAATAATTGAAATAATTTTTAAAGATAGGAATCATTAACTCAGAAAAAAAGAGAGTGTCGCTTCTGAGTAAGTCTTGAAAGAACTACTGGTCATTCTACAGAACAATGTTTCTCAAACTAAATATCTGGAACCCTTCCCCTCCAGTTCTCCAAGCTCTAGAGTTTGGACAAAGGTTGGTAGATGTGCACTAAATACATCCATCATAACTACACTTTCTCTTACAGAAGGTATAAACATTTTGATTTTGGACAACTGCCTTAAAATAACCCACTCCAAGTATTTACACTATAAATTCATTATTTTGCGTACTTTGAAGTCTCTTAAAATTTGGTCTAACTATAGTTAACGTAAGATTCTATCACTTGTGCAAATTAAAAGTTACACTACTAAGTGCACTAATAACACAAAGATGAGGTGAAGCTGGCAAACTACTACTACTAACACCAGCTAAAATTTAATTCAAACACATATTTTATGCCAGGCTACAAGCAGCTTACAGAAAATAACTCATTTAATCCACACAACCATGCTACCAAGGTGGTACTATTAATACTCATACACTCATTTTACAGACTAGCCAATTAAGTAACTCGCCCAAGGTTAAAGCCAGTAGGTCATGAGACTGGAATTTGAATCCGGTCACTCTGCCTCCAGAACCCGTCCTTTCTAGCACCGTGCCCAGATGTCTCTTAACATATACTGATTATAGCAGTGTAAACTGAGGCTAGCCTTTCAGAAAGCACTCTGAACAGATCAGGAACCAGGAAAATGTCACAAATATCTGATACATATATCTGGATATCTATCATATATGCTCAAATAAACTCACCACAGTTTTGCTTAAACAAAAAAGAAAAGTGGAACAATTTAAATGCCTAAAAATAGGGAAGTGGCTAAACAAAGCATATTTACCCCAATGACAACTAAGAACAATGGCTATGAAGACTGCAACAACAGAAAAAAAATTTACAGCAAATACCGACTTTTTAAAAAGCATTTATAAAACTGCATATGCTCTATGACTGACAATTATGTGAGAAAGGGCTAGGGCTATTGGATATAAACTACTTCTAAATGCTGACATAGCTGTACTGAATAAATTTGTGTATTTCACATTTCTGCTATTCAAACGTTTTCAAATTGAAGTAATATTACTTTTATATGAAAAACAATGCACACATTTAAAATATATTAAAGGGTTGGCCAATTAGCTCAGCTGATTAGACTGAGTCCTTGTAACTCAGTCGGTTAGCGCAACTGGTTTAGAGTGAGGCCTTACAGTAAGGTCAAGGGTTCGATTCCCCTTCCTGGCCAGGCCACCAAAAAAAAAAAAAAATTAGAGAAGCATACGCTTAAATATATGCTAATATTCAAATATACATGCATTTCAGCAAATATGCTAAGGGCATCCTGAACTGCAAAGTCACGACATTAAAACGAGGAACTGGGGTGTGACTCTTTTCTCCTTAACAATCTCCTTCCCATTCTTTCATGCATTCCCATGCATTTTATAAATGCTCAAAAACTCACACCTTCGCTACCGCCTACGCGGCCTTAACACTATTCGCATAACAATTGTAAACATATTTACACTAGTTAAGTGCTATTTATACGACGCATTTTGACGTTTTTACGCGTTTTTTCTTTTTTGTTTTGTTTGTTTGGGGGGTTTTTTGGCGGTTGGTACAGGGATCGAACCCTGGAGCTTGGTGATATCAGCACCACGCTGTAACCAACTGGGCAACCGGCCAGCCCCGTGTTTTTAGCTTTTATACTATACGCGTTTATACTGTACGCGTTTATACTATAAAAACCCTGCAGTAGAGCACCTTCTCTCCAATTGGTTTTCGGTTCCTTTCACCGAAAATCCAACCCCTAACTCGCTCTGCCCACAAAGTGCAGTTCGCAGCAATGCTGACCCAAACTGGAAGTTCACTGGCGCCAGTTTTAAAGCGGTCATTCCCAAACCCAGACTAAAATCCTTTATGAAGCACTAAGACGGTTCAGGTGTTTCATATTTGTGCTATAAGGTAAAAATCGAGAGTTTTCCGGGTTTTGTTTACCACGCCAACACCGTTGGATGGAATGTGTTGACATAACTTTGTGCTAAGGGTCACAAGAGCAGAAAGGGAGAAACACAGTGAAACTTGGGGATGGGTTCGCAGCCCTCGCCTCCTGCGGCACCGACAACGCGTGCATTAAAACGCTTCGGTACAAGCAGCACCGATCCCACCCTGCATGCACTGGGTTCCACGGTGCTACACCGAGTCCCCTTGCAGATAGGGAGAGGGGACTCAGAGCTGGGCCGAAGTGGGGTCGGGCTCTCCCAGAGGCCAGGCCTTCCCCGAGGCCGAGCGGGGCCCACGTCCCCGTGGCTCCTGTCGCCCCCCGGCCCGCTCGGCAGCCCCCTCTCACCCGCTCCGGGGCGCTCCATGGTCGCAGCGCG